GGTGTTGTCCTGCTCTTCTTTTTCTAGAAGCTTGAAGTTTAGCATCAGGTTGTTTAATTGGGCTCACTCTGTTTTCCTAATATGTGTATTCACTGCTATGAATTTCCCTCCTAAGACTGCTTTCATTGTGTTCCATAGATTCCAATATGTTGTATTGTCATTGTCATTTAATTGAAGGAACTGTCTGAATTCTTCTTTAATTTCCTCTGTGACTCATTGTTTATTCAAAAGTGTGCTGTTCAATTTCCATGTGTTTATGAAATTCTTGCAATTTATTTTGCTGTTGATCTCCAATTTCATCACACTATGGTCTGATAATACACAAGGGATAACTTCACTTCCTTTGCACTTACTTAGACATGTTCTATGAGCAAGAATTTGGTCTATTTTGGTGAATGAACTATGTGCAGATGAAAAGAATGTGTATTCTGATTTTGTGGGGTCAAACACTCTGTAAATATCTGTTAAGTTCATTTGTTCAAGAGTTTGATTGAGGTCTAGTATTTCATTACTTATTTTTTGTCTAGTTGATCTATTTGTGACAATGGGGTATTGAGGTCCCCCACTATAACTGTATTAGTGCATGTATGACTTTTCATGTCTGTTAGTATTTGTTTTATATAGTTGGGTGTACTAGCATTCGGTGCATATATATTTATGATTGTCATCTCTTCCTCTTGGGTTGCTCCCTTTACAAGGATGTAGTTTCCTTCTTTGTCTCTCTTAATCAGTTTTTGTTTGAAATCCACTTGATCTGCAAAGAGGATAGCTACTCCTACTTTTTGGGGGGTTCCCATTGCATGGAGTATTGTTTTGCACCCTTTAACTTTCAGTCTATGAGTTTCTTTTTGAATTAAGTGTGTTTTTTGTATGCAGCATATTGTGGGATCTTGCTTCTTGACCCATTGTGCCAGTCTATTTCTTTTGATTGGTGAGTTGAGACCATTAACATTGATGGTTATAACAGATACATATTGACTTATCTTTGTTGTGACCTTTTCTTTTTGTTGGATTCTCCCCCTTTACATTTAATTTCTTGTTGCACCTGATGGATTCATTCTGCTGTACTTCCTAGGGTTGTGATCCTCATTGTCTTTTCCTAGGATATTGTCTAAAATTTTTTGGAGTGCTAGTTTGGTATTCATGAAGTTCCTAAGGTGTTCTTTGTCATGAAGGAATCTCATTTCTCCATTAATTTTGAAAGATAGTTTTCCAGGTTACATCATTCTGGGTTGGAGGGTGTTTTCCTTTAGGGCTTGAAATACATTACTCCAAACTCTTCTTGCCTTGCGGGTTTGCATTGAGAAGTCTGCTGTGATTCTGATGGGCTTTCCTTTGTATGTGATTTGTTTATTTTCCCTAACTGCTTGTAGAACTTTGTTCTGTTGGGTTTCTGGAATCTTAACAATTATATGCCTATGTGTAGATTTTTTTTGATCAAGGCTAGTTGTAG